AGTTTTAGCATGTTTTGGAATGCTCTAAAGAGAAAATATAGTTGTAAGCACCATAAATGTGAAATTGCCAAAAATGCAAAAAATCAACTAGTAAATTGTGAGATTTCAGTTATGGAATGTTCTGTAACAGTATACAAATCACACATTTTCAACAAGATGCACAAAAAAGGAGAAAAATAGGGAAAAGCTATCAGTGCCATCTGGTGGAAGGACCTATATTAAAATGCCCAAGGTGATATGACCACACCCAGACCATTTCAGACCTTTATACTAATAGCCAACACATAACTGACAGATATCAAGGCAGTTTTGCCATTAGTTTAGAGGAAATAGATCTGGTTAGGAACAGATGTATTGTAAGTACTTGCATTCTGTGTGTGACCAGTTTTTAAATAATTTATATGCCATCCTTAGCCATACTAATATCACATAAACCTTTACCTCCAACACAATGCACACAAAAAAATCTATACCCAAACCATTCTAGTTGGTTGCCCTTTATAGCATAGTTCCCCAGATGTGGAGACTTTACATTAATTTATTACAGCACTTCACACAAACACCCTCTTGGATCACAATTTCTTATCTTTCTTTTTCATTTTTGTTTTAGTTCTTGAGTTTATTGCAAATTAGTTCTCTTCTTTCCTTCAAACAAAATTTTCATTTGTAGTAGTTACCTATTGCTGCATGACAAATTTGCCCCAAAATTTATTATGTTAAATAACAGACATTTATTATCTTACAGTTTCTGTGGGTAAGGAATTAGAAGAGGCTTAGCTAAGAGGTTTTGAGCCAGGGGGCTCATGAGATTATAATCAAGATGTTGTACAAGTCATCTAAAGTCTTGCATGGAGCCAGAGGTTCAGTTCCTGAATAGCTACCTCATTGTCACTGTCTCCCTATATCCTCACAGTATGGATAGCACACATCAATTTTTTGTGACCAACCCTATGAAGTTATACATTATTGTTTTAATAATAACCAATGGGCTTTGAAAACTGGCCTCCTCATTGTAGAAAAGAACATCCCTGGGATGCTGGTTGGGGGCCATCTTGGAGGTTGGCCACCATACCATCCCTTCTTGAAAGGCTCAATTTCCAGATCTCTGGCCCAGGTACAATGTGTATTTATACATTGCAAATTCAGAACATATCAGACACAGAAATCTGATGGTTTTGTAATGCAGGTAATCCTTTGTTTTGTTGGGACACAAGGACCTAGCTAGAGGAAGAAATTCTCTGAGTCTTAACTTCATCAGTAACCAGGAAACTAGGGCCTCAATGTGAGAGAAAAAAAAAAGTCAAAACATTCTTATCAACTAGGAAGAGGAAGTTAGAATGCCCGAAAATTGTTCCCTTGAGCTTTTAAATGGGAGAGAACACAATGAAAACGGAAAATTCTGCCACTGAGAAGGCATTCTGTCATTAGAAAATTCTGTCATTAGAAGAGTAGTTCCAACCCGATAATCTCCCCCTGCCCCCGACTGACTCCCTTCATGCTTGTTATTTTTAATTGCACAATTAGCTTTTTAAAATATATTATCTGATTGCCAGATAAAGACTATTGCTTTGATGAGCAGTTTGGTACTTTATTACATGTTCTGGGAATAATATTATCTGAGTCTAAATTCCCCCCAAGTATATTGTAAATTCCCTGAAGTCATGGAAATTGCTTAAGCTTATTACTCATCCCACCATCAGTGTCAGCAGATTCCTCTCCAAGAATGTCCTTCCACACACTCATATACATACATATACACATACTACCAATACAGATACAATAGGAGCAGTGCCCAATAAAGACCAAGAAATGTAGTCCTGGGCTTGGAGAGATGGCTGAGCTTAGTTAAGAGCACTGGCTGCTCTTGCAGAGGACCTGGGTTCAATTCCCAGTACCCACATGGCAGCTAACAACCATCTGTAACTCCAATTCCAGAGCATCTGACTCCCTCTTCTTCCCTTGCATGGCATGCTTGCACTTACATTCATGCAGGCAATACACTCATATGCACAAAATAAAAAGAAACGTAGCCCCTTTACAACAGTAGTAATTAGACTACTACTGGTTAGTCTGTTGACTTGACACAAACTAGCACCATCTAAGAAGAGGGAACCTCAACTAAGGAATTCTCTCCACAGATTGTCCTGTGGGCATGCTGATGGATGAGGAGGTCCCAGCCCACTGTGGGCCATGTCCTCCCTAAGCAGTGGGCCATGTATAAGAAAGCTAGCTGAGAAAACCAGGAGGATCCATCCAATAAGCAGCTTTCCTCTGTGGTCTCTGCTTCAGTTCCTTCCTCTGGGTTCCTGCCTTGAGTTCCTGCCCTGATTTCCTTCAGTGATGGATTGTGACCTGGGATTTCAGTTGTAAACTGAAATAAACCCTTTCCTCCCCTAAGTTGATTTTGGTCACAACAGAAAGCAAACTAGAACATAGACTTAGCCAGAATCATTTCCATAAAAGGAGAGAAAGGGAAGGAGGGGGTCAACAGGAATGGGAGGCAGATAAGAGGGTAATGGGGGAGAAACTGTCCAAGAAAAGTTCTAAAATTGAAAAAAAAAAAACTTATCTAGGGAAAAATTAAAGCATGAACTCAATAAAATAGCCAACAGTACAAAAAGAATGTTCTAGATCTACTCTAATTGGCATTTGTGTGAGTACATACACACGTAAAACTTCATTGAGGTATGTATTCACTGCATGTTTTAGTATGTAAATTATATTTCAATAAAGAAGTGAAATGTTTAAAAAGAGGTGCTACATTATACTCAACGCAGTCCTCAAACTCAAGCAATAAGACTCTATAAATGTGTCTTACCAATGCATTCTTTTTTTTTTCCATTCATTTAACATTTTTGAACACCATGTTCAGGATCCAATTAGCATGAAAGATTAAGCAAATCAGTCTTGATTCCAACAAAAGCCGGAATCCCCAGGTCAACAAAACAACTGTCCTAGCAGGAGGACATCACATTCATGCAAGCCGAGATAAGAGTGAACCAAGAGCCTCCACCTTCCTGAAGGTCAGATAACCCAATACAAAGAAGAGAGGGCTCTAAATTTGATTAAGAACTATTGTATGAAATGCACAAAGGTCAGTACTGTGCACGGGAGCAGGCGCTGACATTGTCAGCTTCAGGGATCCTAGCCATAGAACTTGCCTTACAGTTTCAGAATCCCTGGGCCAAGACAGAAATTAAATGAGACCCTTGGCAGACCCTGGACCACTTCCTCCCTGAGTCTGCTGGAGGGAAAGCCAGACCAGTGGACAAGGGGAAGGAAGTCTTCAGAGGGAGCCCACTGGCCTTTTCATAGGGAGAGCTGGCAGGTTGACAAATGTGCTTCTAACCCTGCAGAGACCCACAGATGAGGGAACACTATTGTTTGGGGGCTCTGAAGAGAAGAGGATCTGTCTCCCCCAAAACTGTTTTCTCTCTGGAGAAGAAAGACTCAGGGCTGGATATCAAGGAGACAAGGAATGGACATGGGAGAAGAGACACACGTGGCAAGTTTTTCCTGGGCAAGTAGAAGGAAAAGAGAAGGAAAGAAACTGAGAAACCTTGTCCATTGGCAGTGCAGCCAGGAATCATGGCAAACCCCTCAACTGTGAGGCTCTGGTGGGGTGACTGGTGACAATGGGCCACAACTGGGAAGAAAGAAAAGGAATGAAATGGGCAACTGGAAAGATTAATGGGTAGATATGCAGGAAATGGCAGTACAGACCAGGAAGGTCTTCATCAGGGCTCTAACTGGTCAGAACAGAAGATCTGGAAGCTCCTGGAAACAGGAGATCAGTTGGCTGGGAGAAGGGTGTACTTCCCCTGAGTCAGAGCAGGCCTTCAACTATGTGGAAGGAGCAATCCTTTTTTGTTTTACTGAAGCCACAGGATGATTATGTGTGTTAAGGGTAGGAGGTCTAACCATCCTGGCAGGAATGAAAATATTCTAAAAAGACATTTAGGCCCCTCCCTTTGACTATCAAACTATTGAAACAATGAACTCCACGGTTATCAGTACCCCTGCTGCAAGTTTCATGTAGAGGAAAGAAAAGGCTGGGAGCCTGCTGTCAGCCACATGGGAAGCTTGTCTCGGAAAAAGGTTTCACACGTTCTGACAACTCGTCAGACCACCTTGTAGGAGAGACTGGAACTGACAGTGATGACACACCTTGACTATACATACCTTTTCCCCTCGGTTTAAACCTGAACATCATGTCAGGACCCCAAAGATGGATGACCTGGGAGGAGGGGGTCACAGAACTTATTTTGTTCCTCTTCCCAATGTGACCACATTGAATAAATCTTTTTTCTGCTTTTCACTATCATTCTTGTTTAATTAGCCTATCAAGGACAAGTTGCCAAGCCTGGCTTGTTAGGGTCACCAGGGCCCAGGCTCTTACCATAACAACTCCAGAAATGGAGGGAAGCACATCTTCATGGCCAAGTTGTATGGGTTCAGATCAGGGTATCCTTGGCCAAGTTAACCAGCTTCCCTAAGCCTCTGGTTGTAACCATGAACAAAAAGGATACAAAAACACCTTCCACATTTGGTTATTACAGAAAGCACCCCACAGGTCCTGCGACACAAGCAAATTCTGTAAGAGTTAATGATTTTTACAATTATTGAGTTTCACTATTACAGTATCTGGAAGAGAGACTCCTCAGAGTCTGGGTGAGATACAGTTACAGGTTCCCATTTTATAAGAATAACATTTATGGAGCTGGAGAGATGGCTCAGCAGTTAAAAGCACTGGCTGCTCTTGCAGAGGACAGGGTTTGGTTCCCAGTATCCACACATGGTGGCTAACAAGATGTATAACTCCAGTTCCAGGGGCTCTAATGTCCTTTTCTGGTCTCTGCAGGCACTGCATGCATGTGGTACACTTACATACATGCAGGCAAAACACTCATACACATCATATAAAAATAATTTTTTAAATAAATAACATTTACAAACTCAGGCCTGCTCAGAGTAGAGTGACTTGGAGGACCTGTAAACATTGTAATGGGGAGATGTAGGAACTGTGAATAAAATTAAAACACATAGGACAAGAGATTGGTTACGTGAACAGAGTGCCATTTCCTGTTTAGGAAACAGTGTTGTGGTGTTAAAAAATGCTGGGGCACAGTCATTTCCTTAACCTCTCCAGTGCCTCAGTTTTCTCATGTCTAAAATGGGGCCATTTAGATCAATCATCATTAACTATGACAGCTAATTAATACAGGAAAAGTGAAACGTGCACAAAGAAATGCTCAATAAATGTTAGTTATGTCACTGAGTCTTATTACGGTATTACCCGGGGCAATTCAAGGTGCCAGATAGCAGCCCCATATTTTTTTAACAGTCCCAGCAATGTGAAAATGAAAATAAGTGCCTAAAAGATAATAATTGCCCCCCATTGGAAGAACTTAAGAAGTCATCAACGACGACTGCTCAGTCATTGGAGAGGAGATTCCTTCCCCAAGGCGGAAGTAGATTTGTCCTGTTAAACCCTTGTGTTTCCTGTGAAGGAAGGGGAGTCCAGGCCCTTTAGAGACAAGGGCAGCTGGTCCTCGATGCAATGAATGCAGCACACCACCAGGGAGCAGCAGAGTCCAACCCCAGGCGGTTTCATCTACAGGAGCAATTAATTTGTAGGCGTCCTCAGCGAATAGCGCCCCGCTGCAATTACTGGAGTTGTTGATTAGCCGACCTATCAGCGAGTGTCCAGCTCTAGCTGGGCGGACGGCGGGGAATGCTCCGCGTCTCTACGAGCCCAGTGCGCGTTCTGACCCCTCCCCGGCAGCTCCTCCAACCCCAGGCGGAGAGGAGGGCCACGTGGCTCGGCTGCCGCAAGTGCTTGGCCGGGACTGGGTTCGCCCGAGGGTGAACAGGTCGCAGGGCGGAGTAGGAAGGGCCGGCCTCGGCCTGGGTGTCTCACCCGCAATGGGCGTGCAGCCCCCCAACTTCTCCTGGGTGCTCCCGGGCCGGCTGGCCGGGTTGGCGCTGCCCCGGATGCCCGCCCATTACCAGTTCTTGCTGGACTTGGGCGTGCGGCACCTGGTGTCCCTGACGGAGCGAGGGCCCCCTCACAGCGACAGCTGTCCGGGCCTCACCCTGCACCGACTGCGCATCCCAGACTTTTGCCCGCCGGCCCCTGACCAGATCGATCAATTCGTGAAGATCGTGGACGAGGCCAACGCCCGGGGAGAGGTCAGCTCGTGTGGATCCAGCTGTAGCTGGCCAGGCCAAGTGGGCGGGACCAACGCGGGTGGGCGGGACCTGGGATTGAGGGGCGGGGCCAAGAGTGCAACTGTGGGAGTCTGCTGAGCTGCTAGACCTCAGCCAGGTGGGGAGAAAAAAGGAAGTGAAGCCTTGTGAAGTGGTCTGCAAAAAGTACTGTCAGCGGAAAAGGAGCAATACTTTCTAGAGAGGTGGGGGCCTTGAAGCCAGATGATGTCACTTCTTGCCCTCTTGAGGGCCTGAGACTTGGGGTAACAGTCCAACTCGGGAAGGACTGCAAAGTGTTGGGGAGGGCTTTCGGCTCCATCCCATCACTTCCCTCTTCACAGGCGGTGGGCGTGCACTGTGCCCTGGGCTTCGGCCGCACTGGCACCATGCTGGCCTGCTACCTGGTGAAGGAGCAGGGTTTGGCTGCAGGAGATGCCATCGCTGAGATTCGGCGCCTGCGACCAGGATCCATCGAGACCTACGAGCAGGAGAAAGCCGTCTTCCAGTTCTACCAGAGAACGAAATAAGGGGCTCAGCAGCCTTCTGCCAGGCACCGACCCTCCTGTTCTACATGGACAATGTGGCCAGAGAGGAAGTGAACTAAAGTAATAAACCCTTACGCTCCCTTTGGCTCCTATTGGACTTCTGTAGCCTTTCCCCACAGGCATAACCTGGTTTACAGGATGGCTGAGACCCCATGAAAATGCATAAATAATAAGAACCAACTTATGCTGCATAGAATTTTACAAAGCACTCCCAGTACACCAACATGTGAGTTTCATCAACCCTGTGATGTAGAAAAGACAAAGACCATCTTTATTGTTCAGATGAGGCAGCTAAGGCTCAGGCCCAGAAAGGTCCAAGGTCATCATTCTAGAAAATGGAAAGATGGGCCAGGACTGCAACACATATCTTTGTCTTCTTGAAGATGCTGAAAATCTCCGATGCCTGACCATAATTGATATGGTTTCTGGAGAACTAGTGATAATGATGCAAGTTCCCAGCCACAGCCTCCAAGCAGCCTCAGGGCTTTGACACTCCCAGGCCAGGAGGACCCCTGTTGATACCATCACATATTCTAGGTCCATCTGCCCCACATGGGTCACCTTTGCTCGTCTCAGGGCAGAGAAGGCCTGAATGTTATGTTCATGGATGATCTCTATCTCCCTGAGGTTGGGCTCCTCCTATCAGCCTCACATGATCCTCAGCTTATCTGGTACCTCCAGCCCACCATGCCATTCCCAGCCTCAGACCAAGGAATGCTGGAACTGAGTCTGGGTGGTTATGCAGAGAGGATATTAATATCAAATAAAGAACTCTGGGGTACGAATCCTGGCCGTGCTTCTCAGGTATTATTTTCACTTCTCCCCTGTTGGACCCCTGCCATTAGCACCACACTTTTGACTTCTGAGCAATGAGGTACATGGCATACATGGGCCAAATAGACTCTTTGCATAATGTCAGTCTGCATTCTTGCCCTCTGCAGTAACAGCTGAACTGAATAAGGCAGACTTTATCATGAGATGCACATAAAGTGCCTGTGTGAAGCAAGTGCTGTTAGAGGTGGAGGCTACTTGTCAAAATGAGACCTGATTCCTACTCTCCTAGAGGAGATGGACACAGACCATCCAGTCACACATACTGGATACCAAAAGCCGTATCTACTATTCCAGGCACAGGAAGGAATAGTCAAGAGTCTCCCTGTGGATTCCATCCCTCATATCCAAGACCATAGCTAGGTCTAAGCCATCCCCTTCTCCACTTCTTTCCCACTGCTGCCCCAACTCAACATTATTCAGCCCACCCTCAAACAAAAGGGTTATCAGGAAGAAATGTAAGATGCCCCCTCAGTTCCTTCTGTGTCTAATCTGAGGGATCCATTTTATTTCCTTGGATCCTATCTAGCCTACACAGGGGAGGATATCAGCCAAAGAGAAGAAACCCAAAATCCCAGGCATTCAGACTGTAACAGAAGAATGAGGGCTAGCATGAGCAGAGGGCATGATGAAACCCTCACCCTCCTCTCCCCAAAAGATCCATCCACCCTGCCATTCCCACTCCTGCCCCATTCTGTCCTCATGTAAACCAGACCATCTTCCCAAGATGTGTGCATGCCTGTGTGCATGTTTTCATGCAGAGGGGGCAGGCAGGAGGGGTATAAATGGTGCACTTCCTTGACCCTCTTCCTCCATTGTCAGGGCTTGCCCATATGGGAAGGGGATCAGAGGATTGAAGCTGCACCCCAGAGTTCAAGCCTTCTCACCTGACCTGATCTGCTGGGGCCATACAACCCATCCCTGTCCTTTCCACTCGGTTCCTCTTTTGCTCTACCCTCCCCACGTCCTCTGCAGCGCCAGAGCAGAGTCTGCTTCTACTTTCCTCCCAAGGCTCCTTTGAAGGAGACAGAAATTTTTTCTAACCCCATTACAGCCCTGTGTGCAGCCTCCCTCCCCATAATTTAAGCAGGTCTCCTCTGCCTCAAGAGTTCCTTAGGGAAATAAACATATAATTATGTGCTTAAGGAAATCGCTTTTAAATAAGTAAGAGTTGACTTCAAATGAAAAACTCTGCCCTTCTCCTTCCATCTACCTTGAGAGGGTAGCCTGAAGTTCCATTTGTTCTCATTCTGCCTCCAGGATTTTTGCTTTCACGCCACCCTTTCTTCTGTCTTTGTCTACCAACAGAAGGTCACATATTAACCATGGCCCAACCTCATTATATCCTACACTGGTTCCAGAAACAGGCCTTCTCCATCTACAAAGCATTTTTACATTTGCATCAGACCAGGGTTTCACATCCTCAGCATTCCAGACATTTGGAGCTGGATGATGGAGGGGATTGGGGGATCCTGTGTACTGTAGGGTGTTTACCAACATCCCTGGCTTCCACTCACTAGATACCACCTACACACCCCTCCAGTTGTGACAACCAAAGATGTTTCTAGACATTGTCAGGTATCCACTAGAGGGGAACAAAATCTGCCCCAATTGAGAACCACTGAAACAGACTAATACATGGGTTTCAGTCTCTCTGGAAATAGAGGAACAGGCCTGGGCATTTCTTCGGCAGGAACACACATCTTAGTAGGAGAGCAAGGGCCAACTCAGTCACCACCTCCTTTCAAAATATTATCTGGAAGTCACTCATCCCCAGGTATACAACCCTCCCCCAGCTTGATTGCCAGCATGACTATAAATACCAGACTCTGTATTCAAAGTGTTCTATTCTCAGTGAATTAATGGTGAACAAAGGTGAAACAGCTTCCACCCTATGTTTTTAAAGTTCCATCCATGCTTATTCTCTGGTATGTGATTAGGGTTTTGTTCCAAATAGAGGCTTTTCTACTTGGAAACAACCATTGTTCCATACAGTCTTGACTCTGCACTGACCACCCCCATTAGGCTACTTTCCTTGAAAAAAAGCTGCAGGAACAGCTTACATCAAGATAGAAGGAAACCAGCCACGCACTGCTTCTTTAAGAAGATTCCTCCCTGGCCCACATCTCCCACTTGCACTGCCCCTTCAGCATTGCCCAAGACAATGCACAGGACAAAGCTGCCCCCCACACCACCATACATATAACCATCCAGATCCAGCTGAAAATGTCAGGAGTACTAAGGATGAGGCACCCTGGTCTAGAGCACATGTGTCCCTTGCACTGTGAGTTCTAAGTTCCATGACTACCTAAAAGGCCACGTGTCTCAGTTTCACGCTGCAGAAAGGGCCACAGTGAAGCCATAGGCACATACCTGCATGCACCTGAGGTTGCTCACACCCCCTGTACAGCTAAACTTAGTATATTCTATTCCTTTCAGCCATTCCTAACATGGAGAGATCCCCTACACAAGGGAATTCACCACTGCCTAGAGAGGTCTGCTCCTCTGCACACCCTCCCACCTGCTGGGTATTATCCCCAAAGTCAGTTCTTCCCAGGGCAATGATGACCATGTGACCTGGGACAGAGAGTTGATCTAAACCATAAATCCTTTCTCAGGATGAACTGCACCCATTTGCCAATCTTCAAATCAAAGTTCTTGCCATCTGTGTCTTGCCATTCTTTCTGAGAAGGAAACTAATTTAGTCTCATGGGATTTTTTTTTTTTTTGTCACAAAACAATGGCAGTTACACTAATGCATTTCACAGTCTGTCATGCCCATGCTTAGCTTGCTTATATGATCATAACTCCTGTCATTTATGAAGCACGTAGCATGTATATAGCTGGTGGTTTACATACATTGCTTTATATAATTTTAACCTTATAACTCTGCAAGTCAGGTATTTTCTCCTTTTCATAGATGAGGGAACTGAGATTTAGAAAGACGAATAACATGCCAAAAATCACACTTGTATTAGTTACTTTTCTCATGATTGTGACCAAGTACCTGACAAGACCAGAAGGAACTTAAGAACAGAAAGGTTTGTTTCGGTTTATAGTTCAGGATACAGCCCATCATAGTGGGGGTTGCATGGCAACAGAAGTGTGAGGTGGCTGGAAGCCAGGAAAGGACATGAAGCAGGGCTGGGCTGTCAAACCTCAAGGCCTCACTTCCTCCAGCAAGGCTTCACTTTTCTAAAGTTTCCACATCCTTCCAAAACATCTCCACCAGCTGGGGACCTGGTGTTCAAACACATGAGCTTATGGATGGGGAGGGGAGACATTTCACATTTAAACCACTAGTATCGAAAAAGCCTGGATACAAACCCAAATCATCTATGTCAGCTTTGAAGTCTGGAGCCCATGCTTCTTTCACCAGACATCCTCCTGACAAGACTTTCTGTGGTTCTAGGGACACAGTAGCATCTGTCTTATTGTCACAGCTCAGCCTTACTGGATATCTTATCCACATGTCTTCCGGTGACCAGCTTATTCACCTTAGAAGTCAGAGAATGCCCTGCACCTAAACCTGAGGTCCACAGCACCTGAATTATGTGCTGTGCTTTACAATGCAGCCTGGGGTCAGCAGGATTTCTCAGTAGATAAAGGTGCTTGCCAACAAGTCTGATACCTGACTCAGATTCCTTGGATACTGGAAAGAAAGAAACTACTCCTGCAAGTTGTCCTCTGACCTCCACATGTGATGTGGCACGCCTCCCATACACACACACGCACGCACAAAAATAAAAGTTTTAAATGTAGTTTAAGAAATAAAGAATAAAACACAGCCTGAGCATTGACCCAACTACCATCAGAGTTGTCCTGTCATATCCATTTTTATCTATTCAAAGCATCTAAGTGTCCTCACCCAGAATTAGTCTTGGGGCTTGTGTGACTGGTATGGGACCCTCAAAAATGCCTGGTGATTTATTGAAAACCCCACTACCCTTTATGGTTCTGTTGTTGTTTGACCCCTTAATGCACACCAGGCACTGTGCCAAGTGCTTTATAGACATTGTCTCATTCATTCTTCAAAAAGAAAATTATAAAAATCCACATACAAAGTACTACAATAACCAATGCACAGTTAGTATACTGACACCCAGAAAGTTTAAGTACCCTGCCCAAAGCCACATCGTAGAAAAAAGTTAAAACTCAGACTAGCAATTAACCACCTTCCCTTTCATAGAGGAGAAAGGGGAGATTTTGTTGAAACTAGCAAATAGAAGTATCTTGCACTCCCCAAAATGAAGGCATCTGGTATCCCAGGGTCATCTGTGGAGCCCACAGGGCTTCCTAGACACTGCTGCCCAACAACTGTCAGCACAGCCCTATCATCATCCCTCAACAGACTCTGCTTCAAGACTCCAAACCATCAAAAATATAGTCCCCTCAAGACACCTGCTGCTACTTGGGGCATTCTAGACATGATAGGGAAGCTACATCAATGAAATCTCCACTGTCTGGGAGTCTAGCAAGATTTGCATAGTAACAAAACCAGTTGACATGCCAAGGAGAAAGGGGGAAATTTCACTGGGACTCATCTCAAGATGAAGAGCTGCAGGCAATCAGTGAATATGGAGGGAGGGATAATCCATTTTCTCCAAGGACTAGCTCCCTAAGTAATCTAATCCCAAGTGGGCAACCCTAAACACAGTACACATGAGTACCACTAAATGGACTCAGTACACCATATATATGTGTGTATACTAATAAATGGATGAATGGATGGATATGAGACAGTTATCACAGGAAAGGACAAGAAATTGAGAGAGTCAGGGAGGGAGCACATGGGAGGAACTGGAGGAAGACAGGGGTGGAAATAATGCATATACAATATTCATGTGTGAAATTCTCAAAAATTAAAATATAAAAAAGAAAACAGAACAAAATACTGTATATATAGTTCCCTGTTGATTTAGAAATTAGTTACATTAAGCACATCTTCCATTAT